TCAGCCTGTGCCCTCTCCCACCTCTGCCCTCCCAGTGGTTATTGTGTGGGGAGCCCACCTCAGTTCCTTTTACCCGGTTGTCTCGAAAGCCAAGGATGAGTGTGTCTGGTCACTGCTCTAAAAGTGGGATCTGAGGCCTTTCCCTGCCCAGTCTGGTGCCTGCCCCCCGTTGTACCAGACACTGGACTCCTGCACCCCCTCCTCCTTCCCTTTATCCCCCTTCTTTCCTTCGGGTCGCTCAGCCCAGTACTGTATCCAGCACCATAGAACCTCAGTGTTTGTCCTCTGCTGGGTTTGGGGGCACAAGGAAGCCTTGGGGGTGTGGGGAAAGGCTGTTCTTATCTTGAGTTTACTCCCAGGCCAGGGGGCTGCCATCCCCTCCCTGATCCTCCCACAGACACCCCAGAGGGAGGAAGCCCCTTTGGGGTGGGGAGGTGAGGACTTCATCTCAACGTAGGCTGAGAGATGGGGGGGGGAGAGGGGTTTTTTTTTTTTTTTTCTTTCTTTCTTTCTTTCTTGTTTTGTAACATGTTAGGAGTTAATGTTGCAAAGAGTAGTTTACATCTTCACTTTCTGAAGACACTTGAATTTAGGACCGACGTATCTGTGACAGGCATGCCAGGAGCGGCCAGAGCCATCAGGGTTGGCCGCTCCACACCCACCACCCTCCTGTGGGGGTCCAAGACCTGAGACACAAAGCAGCAGCCTGCCCAAACCCTTCTGCTCATCCTGTACCCTTCCACGATCGGTCCATACCAGGACGACCTTTGGGCATCAAACATCACAAGGTCTGTGTGCCTCAGCCCTGCTAAGGGGCCGGTTTCTTTCGCCCTCTCCTGAATCTGGGAGCAGATGCGCTACCAGAAGAGAGGGGCTGCCTGGGCCTGCCCCAGCCTGGACCCCCGGGGCTCAGGTCCAGGTGCCGAGCCCCCATGTCAAAGTTGTTAACGTTTTTGTTTTGTTCCATTGTAGCTCTTTTTTTCCCCCCTTTCCTGATGATTGATTTTACAAAAGAAAGTAAGCTGCTCAGAAGGCCCTAGAAGTGGGGAGGAGGGGCAAGGAAGACGAGCTAGGGCGGGTGAGGGTGGTTTTTTGCCAAAAAGCCTGGGTACAACGGTCTGGGTCATCTGGTGCCCTCCTGAGTGGGACCCCAAAGTGTATCCTGTCTGGAAGGGTCCCTGGATTTATTTGCCCCAGCCCCCACCCTCTCCTTCAGCCATGTTGATGGCAGAGGCAGAGAAGATCAGAACTTATAGCCCATTTCTCACTGGAGAGGAAAACTTGTCATCTGGCTTTGCGGAGAAGGTTCCACCTTATGCTCATAGTACATTATCTTTACCATGTGCTAGGATATCACATTTAAAAGGACAAAAAAAAATGTAAAATACTTGAATGAGCTTGTATTATAACATTAATATTATTGAGAATATCTGCTTTCCAGGCTGAAGTGATTCATTCATTATTCTAGTCCTGCTTTAGTCCTTTGTAATTTGTGGTAATTATGCTTTTCTTTTTAATACAAAAAAATGTATAAAAATAAAAACTTGAAAAGGCAAAGTACTGGCTGGTCTCCCATCTGGGGTACAGCTGTTGAGGGATGGAGCCTGGTTAGGGCCCCCTCAGATCCAGGGGAACCCTGCACTCAGGATGTGTACATGAAAGCTTTGCAGGGCTCTGCCATTGCGCTTTTGGGGAATCTGCCCGGGGAATGGGCTCCAGAGGCTGCTAGTGAGTACATCCAGGAATGTATTCATCCAGGAATTCCTCCGTGGTTTTGAGAGCGTCTGCCAGCCTGGAATTCACGTCCACCATGTGTCTTAAAACATGGCAGCTATAGCCAGTCCAGTGCTAGAGAACAGAGAGATGCCAGTCCAACAGAATCCCAGGGTTTCTGCCCACTTGTCCCACTCTCAGGATTTCCATCCTCTGGCTGTGGCCTGGTATCTTGTAAGGAGATCACTAGGAAGGTTGCCGTGATTCCCTGTGGAGGGTCAACACAGCCCCTCTCTGAACAGACATCCCTGCCAGAGTAGAGGAGAAACAGGTCAACACTCTGGCCTTACAGGAATCCAGGTCAGCCACTGAGCCCAGAGGATTGAAGCTGGGAAAGGATGGAATGATGAACACACCCTAGCCTACTGAGGACTGGCCCCTGGGTTGTTGGTGGCTTTTCCCTGACTCTTGAGGCCAGGTGCTGGCAGCGGTAACATTCTCAGTGCCAGTCTGGCCTACGTGTATATAAAACTAGAAGTGAGGCGTGTCCTTCCTTAACCATTAGTCTGACAGCTGTCTCCCATGCCTGGTGCTTGAGCATCCCATCAGAAATGTTCTTCCAGAGAATTCCGCCATTCTTGAGGCGGGCAGTTACTTTAGAACCTCCAGTGGCCTTTGTAGAGTTTAGGAGTTGGGAACCAGGGCTTCTGCAGACTGACTTGGGGACAGGAAGACAGACCCACTTCACAGCCTGGTAGGGATGCTCATGAGGTTGGCCACCACCAGTTGTTTAATTGCACTGCAGTAGCTCCCAGATGCCATGTGATCAGGAGTGCTAGAACTAGGCATGTAATGGAGAGGAAGAAACAGAAGCATCTACTGGCATTAAAAGGAGCCCAGTTTATTTTCCATTCCTTTCACTTTCACGTGATCTGCTGGGAATTTTGAGACCTCAGCCCTTTATTTTTTTTTTTTTTTCAATTTTTTCAATTTATTTTTTAAGTCTGTTTATTTTAAGGGAGAAAGCAAGCAGGGCAGGGGCGGGGGGGTGGGGGGGAGGAGGGGAGAGAATCCAAGCAGAGTCCATACTGTCAGGCGCAGAGCCCACTGCAGGGCTCCAACTCCCAAACCATGAGATCATGGTCTGAGCCAAAATCAAGAGTCCGATGCTTAATCGGCTGAGCCACCAGGCACCTCAAAACCCCAGCCTTTACTTAAGCCTCACTTGTTTACCAACCTCAGGGCCATTCTGTTTGATGAAGAAGAGGATAGGGCTGGGACCCTCTGCCAGAGCCCAACCACCCGGCTGCCAAAAGGGATGAGACACCGACAGCCTCTTGCCCCTCGAAATCCAAAGACCTCAAAGGGGAAAAGAAATGCATCCGTTCGTCCTCTTTCTCCACGCTCCTCATTCCCTACCCTTCCTAAGTGTACAGAAGATGGACTATTTTCCGTATGTTTACTTGTGTAGGAACAGGCTGCAGGAGCAGGCGAGCTGCCGTGAAAACGGACCGTTGGTGCCACAGAAGCTGTGCTGCAAGCTCAGGGCATGAAGTGCCCTGAAGAGCTGTCCTGGGGACAGAGCCAAGCCCACCAAGGCCTGAGGAGGGTGGGTGGGGTTTGGAAGGCCAAGGAGGAAGCTGTAAGTGCCCAGTTGGTCCACTAGGCAGATTTCAAGTGGCAGGGCCAATAGGAAGGGATCTTAGATAGTTCTGCTTCAAGAGTTGGCCTTATCCAATGCTAACGTATTCTAAAACAGTGGATGGTTTTCTTGATGGAAGAGAACTGAGAGTTCAGGAACAGACCCAAATATATGTAAGAACTGAGTAACAATATGGTGGCCTTGCAAGCCAAAGATTGGTCTTCAAATTGTTCTTGGGAGCCACAGGGCTCCTGGCAATGTCTGCTAAGGGAAGGCCAGGCTGGGGACTGTGGCAACCCAGGCAGCTCTCTGGTTTTGTTTCAGGTAAGTTTCATTTGAAGTAAATGGTGTTGAGACAACTGGTTAATCATTTGGGCGGGGGGGGGGGGGGGGGGGGGAAAGAGGGTTATGCCCT